TTTTGGATTACATGTAAAGGTTATGAAGAAATAAGGATATCCAAACCATTACATAGCGACATGACGTCCAAGTAGTTTTGCATCATATCATGTGCACCGCCAGTGAATGAAGAAGGTAAGATAACACGTTGTCCAATGTTGGATATATCTTTATTCTTTAAACCTTGTTGATTACTTAAATTCTCATAAGACTCACATCTAAGAATTTGTTGTTTTCTCCTTACGTAATGTAATCTCTCACTTTCAATCATGGTATAAGCATCTACCAAAAACTGTTGGAACAACCTTTCTGAATTAAAAATTAGTGAAAAACATTGATCCCTATCCTGTATTCTATAAGAAAAAATTCTCTCATTGTACAGTTGGGCCACTTGTTGTTGCTTGAAGGTGTAATACCTCGATGCGATATGTCAACTCTGTAATGATCATCACCATATGGAAATAGTAGTGGATACTGAAGATGAAGGATGTAATTCACTAATACGTCATAAGGAATCAAATGAAGTCTGAACAACAATATCTCTATTATCAATTGAATCACCAATATCTCCAAAATTAAATCGAAAACCTTAAAAGCAGTTGGTAGGTTATATTTCCTTCCATTTTGTTCCCTTCTTCCAATAATTCTCAACTTGATATCAACATGATGCTTTTCATGAAAACAGTCTCTTACCATTCTATAAGACTGGACCAAGACGTTATTTGAATCTAACATCAACTTCAAATCTTGTATAATATAATTATGAACGACAAAAGAATTTGATGTAGATCGTTGATTTTCTCTACTGCAAGTAACATGAACGTATAAACATACGATAAATAAAGATACCGATGCTAATAAATATGACATTTATTAATTAAATAATTGAAAAAAGTATACCAAATACATGTTTGTCTATTTGCGATCTCATTATCGGTATCATATATGTATAAGTAAGAGAATTTTGGTTTAGATATTTGTTCTTGTAAAAGGCTTCCAATGTTATGATAATTTTGACCACTAAGTCTAAAAATGTATGGAGCATTTTCTCTATTGATGGATGAATTAATTTTGTCACCCATTGATGTAAACGAAAACATAGAATTGTAACGACGAATGTTCTTCATGAAGTGTTTGCTTTTAGAATCTAAAGATCTATAAAGATTTTCATAACTTGGAGGTGCATTATTTAACTCTGGTAGTTCAACTTTCTATAAGCATGACATAGAGAATAATTACATCAGACAGATTCATCTTTCCATAATTTTGCAAAACATGTTTGACATACAACACTCTGATCACCATGATCTAAATAATTTGTTAATTAAGATTGGCATAAAAAAGTTAATCATGTAAGTGTATATAATTGAAACGGATTGAATGAACAAATGTAATTAAATATTTGTATAAAAATTACCTTTCGATATATCGGGGTGTATGTTTTGATCATTTTGGCCATCATTGCTGTATTCATTGGATCTTAGATCAATTATTGGAATAAGAGATAAATTTGCATTTTTTTTCTTTTATTGTTATGATTTGGATTAGTTAACCTAACCGATGATGAGCTTGATGTTATTGTAGATGAGTTGTTGGATGTGACATGATTTGAAAATGCTGAGTATTGTCTGATATTTGGTAGAGGTGATTCAAAACTGTTATTGGAAATATCATGGCCGGGGAAAAAAAGTTTGAAGGTATACATTGTTAAATATGATATTATATATATATATATATAATTATATATATATATATATATATATATATATATATATATATATATGAGTTAGGTTTAAATATGGATTGACATCTATTGTGTGGACGTGTGGACAATGTTATTCTGTAAGAATGAAAAAGAAAATATATGGTTTAATAATATAAATATGTTCAATCTTATATAACTATTGTCATTCTCACACATTCTCAATAATTTAATCGTCTATAAGGTTATTATAGACTTTTTATTATTATTTACATTCTGTCAGAATGTTTATTGAGTCGTATTTTGTAAGATTGAAAATGAGAGAAAAACGATGTGTAGGAACAAAAATGAATAAAAATTAGTGAAAATGCATGAAAATGATGATAGTTGTATAAGATCGAACGTAGTCAAATTGGTAAACAACTTATTCTCTTAGTAATTCTCATAGAATAACATTGTCCACACGTCCGCACAATAGTTGTCCATCCACATTATAACCTAGTTCATATATATATATATATATATATATATATATAATATATATATATATATATATATATATATATATATATATATATATATATATATATATATATATAACGAAATGGTAAAATAAATGAGTTATCATAGAAAATGTTACATAATGGAGTTCTAACATTTAGACGTGAATGAGAAGTTTGTAATGTTGATCATTTTGACATATTTGAACTTGATTTAGATGTGAATACATTTTTATTTCGATGGACAACTCCTTTCGATTTGTCTAGAAAAAAAAAATTGTTATGAGAAATATAAAAAAATTAATAATTTTTTAATATTAATGAGGATTAATATTGATAAAGGGATGATGTAAGAATTTTTATTTTATATATTTAAAAGAAACATAAAAAGTGTAAAATCAATTAAGTAGTTTACCGTTTTTCTTCATTTTTAAAACATGTGATGTCACTGAAGTTAGGCCTGGCAATCGTGTCGTGTTCGGGTTGGCGTGTCGCGGATTGGCGGGTCAAAATATGTCAACCCAAACACGACCCATTTAAATATACAAGTCACGGGTTGGCGGGTTTTAAACATAAACCCATATATGACCCGCCAACCCATTTATTTATACGGGTTCACAGGTTGGCGGGTTCGTGGGTCAGATTTGGGTTCGTGGGTCCAAATTTTAGACATTTAAGTCTTAAACATCCAAATGAAAATTAAAAACATTTACAGAAACATGTTTCAAACTTAGGTTTAGAGGTTACGACTTACGACCTTAGACCATCCACCACAAGTCAAAATATCAAAATAGTCAAATGGTCTATGAATCAATGGTATATATTATATAATACTTATTAAATATTAATACTTGATATATAAATACATTTAAAAATAAAATAATTTTTTTATTGAGAATATAAACGGGTTGGCGGGTCAACCCGTTTATTTTTTGAGAAACCCATATATTACACGTTTAATAAACGGGTTGGCGGGTTAGCGGGTTGGCAGGTTGAAAAACTCAATCCAAACCCATTTATTTCGTGTCGTGTTGCGGGTCGTATCGTGAATTGTCAGCCCTAACTGAAGTTGTAAGGATTGATTCGGTCTTATATTTTTTTGTTATATATATATATATATATATATATATATATATATATATATATATATATTTCTCTAGCTTGAACATTATATATGTTCCTTTTTGAATCCACGTAAACATATATATGAAATAGTTATAATTGGTATTAATAATATTGATAAACAAAGTAATAAAATATATAATGAACGTACCGTTAGCAACTGGGTAATAACGTTTGTATAATGAACGTACCGTTAGCAACTGGGTAATAACGTTTGTAGAAGTTTGTAGAAGATGGAATAGAAGAATGAATATGGTAAGAAATACAGTTTTTACGTACATGAATCGGGTATGTTTTTCAAATCACATATCACATATCAGTTACAAGTTACAACTATCATATGACCTGAACATGTAATCGACTTTGTGATATTAAGGAGGGAGCAAAAATGGTATTTTACACTGAATGAATCTTGATTTTTTAAGGAATACATTGCTGAGAGGACTCTTTTATTAGAGAGGGTGATTTAGCAAATTAATTTTTGATAATTTAAAAAGAAACTAACGAAAAAGTGGGTGAATATAACTTCAACCCTTTTTAACATGTGATATAAACTTTTTAATCTTTTTTTTTTTTTTGTCAATTATTGATTTTTATTCTTGTATATATTAAGGAAAATGGAATGTTGTTAGTTATTGCATGTAATCATGAGCAACATGCTTTTTTTCTTTCTATTTTTATGTAAACACGCATTGGAGACTTGAGGCGAGGGTGACTGGGTAAACATTCTTGTAAAATAAAGAAAATGGAACATTGTTAGTTATTGTACGTAATCTTAATAAGAAATCATGTTTTTTTTTTGGTCTACATGTTATAGTTAAAATTCGGAAAACAAAATGAGATGATGAATGTCAAATGTTGGATAATAAATTCATAGTGGATTTATTTGAACAAGCTCAAGTACCTAAAGAAAAGTTGAAAAGATATAACAAGCTTTAAATTCAAGCTAATTATAAGGAATTGACACATACTTTTATCATGCTCTTTATGACTAATAAGAATGATTAAGTTGTGTCATGCCGTTTTTACGATCTCTTTAAATGTGTTCATCTTTTTTCTTGGTTGAATAATAATTCATTGTTCACGAAAACCCTGTAATTCGACAATACGTGATTACTTACTTTTTGCATGTTTTTTAAACTTCATAAACTTTTTTAGCATGTTTAAACATGTATATCAAAATACGTTTCAATATACAACATTTAGATATCTCTAACAATATGAACTAATTTGTTGCAAACAATTAGAACATTGGAAAACATGAATTGTGATAAGTGACAATTTAAAACAGAAAACACATGGTTTTCTCATTGAAAATCAGGTAAGTTCCAATACTACAATGTAGTTTCAAAAAACAGTTATATAATTTTTAAAAAATATTAAAATTTAGATAGGTGAGGACCAGTTTAATGTATGTAGCTCCCGTCCATGCTTGTCAATTTTATCAAGCATTGTCATAATAGAAACATGTTTTTATCGTAATCTATATGTATTTCTAACAACTTAATGAAATTTTTGCCACAAAAATTTAAAAGACCATACGGTGTGTCTTGTACCGCATACTGTGGTATAGTTCGGTCAGGGGCAGTTCCGCTATGGTGCTCACAGTGACGCCAACAACCTCTGCTTTTATCAGGCGCAGTGTAAAATTTTCGAATCTTCTGTTTTTTCTACTATTATATCACCATGTAAAAAAATGTGTCATCGGCAACACATACTACGAAACCATGTGTCCGCCCCTGAATGTGGTATGCGGTAAACACCATAGTGTGTACTGTAGTAAGGTATGGTATGACATCTATAAGATAAGAGAAAAAAAAATGAACTGATAATGCAAAATATTCATCTCACACACTTGCAAAAATTAACAATTCAACATGACATCAATTTTTATCTCTACTCTTATTTCACAGAAATCTACTTTGCCAAGTTACATAAAACAATTGTTTTCAATCATTGCAGAAGCGTTCTTCCATAAATATCAATGTTTTCACACAATGTGAAATACATTTTTATCATTGCAAAAGTGTTTTTTCTTTGTTTGAGAGTGTTCTTCTAGTGTGAAATACATTTAACAACCATATTTCCATTAATATATAACGTTTAAATATCTTTATATGAACATATGCGACACAAACATTTGAAGAAATAAAGGGACCACGTTTTTATGTTCTTCCTTCTCTAATGTATGATTTAACCCTATATAACTAAATGCAATGTTTCCAAAATTCAACCCCAAACAATATAAACTCCACGCGCCACGCGCCACCGGTAGTGGGTTGTCTTCCTCCTTCACACATACACACACACACGTCCCATCGTCCCTACAATTTAACGGCTCCATTTCTCTTTGCTTTTTCTTTCATTCGCTATCAACACACGAATCGCACCTCTAAAGTTGTTCTCTCTCTAAAAATAAAGGCAGACAACATTTAACAGCATTGTTTGCTTCATCTGTCGTCTTTCCACTTTCTCCGGTGAAGTATAAGCCATATTCTCTCTGAATTTCATATTGTGTTAAAATTTGTATGCACATGTTTCGACTATAACTTAATTTACTATATAGATTTCTGATTGTTTGGAGCTATCAGATTGTTCGGAGTGACGAATATATTGAAGCTGAATTCTGTGGACCGAGGAGGATCAAAATGATGTTAGACCTCAATCTGAATCTTCATCAGAGCAATTTGATGTCGGAATACGTGGCTGAAGGCGGGAATCAGTTTCTGAAGGTCCACGGAGGCAACGGGAGCGGAGTTCAATTGGAATACTCCGGTGTCACCTCGAATTCTTTCGTCGTCAATGTGGAGACAGCGAGCAACGCCGGAGGAGACGACGAGAACACGTATCTGTGCTCGAATGTCGAGTATGCCTTTGACATACTTAAATCGAGTACTCTAGAAGACGATGAGAACGTTAGGTCGGGGATTGTCGTAACCAAGCAGCTGTTCCCGGAGGTTGGTGGAGACGGCGATGTAAGGCGGCACAGTGCGGTGGATGAAAGAGAATTCATTGTACGGCAACACCATTATCAACAGCAGGATTTCCTGCAAATGAAGAAGAACAGGAGAGGACCTAGGTCTCGGAGTTCTCAATATCGCGGTGTTACGTTTTATCGAAGAACAGGAAGATGGGAATCACACATTTGGTTAGTCATCATCGATCACAATTTTAATCTAAATGTTTAACTGAACAGAAATCTTCTGCTCCAGATAATAATTTGAAAATGTTTGATCATACATCGCATTCTTACATAATTTTGATCCTTCACTACTTTATTTCTGTAGGGATTGCGGGAAACAAGTTTATTTAGGTAAGTAATTTTGAGCACTATTTACCATTTGGCATTTGATTCTCTTTGTTCTTTCTATTTCAATTTGGATCTGTTTCCATCAGTTCCTGATTTGATTGTTCTATCGGGGAATTCTCTGTACTTGATTTTGTAGGTGGATTTGACACAGCACATGCTGCTGCAAGGTAAATAGTTCTCTAATGACATCACCTTTTAATTTTTAAAGCATGATTATTCATTAGTATATGAAATTGATCTTCATCACAGGGCATACGATCAAGCTGCTATTAGATTCCGAGGATTAAACGCGGATATCAATTTCAACGTAAACGATTACCACGAACATCTTAAACAGGTTCAACTAACCTATCAACAAATCTTCGATCATATTCAGACTGAATCGCTGTCGTATACAACGAATTTAACGAATCAAATTACATTTTGTAGATCAAAAACTTAACAAAAGAAGAATTCGTTCATGTTCTTCGTCGTCAAAGCACTGGATTCTCCAGAGGAAGCTCAAAATACAGAGGAGTTACCCTGCACAAATGTGGTCGATGGGAAGCTCGAATGGGACAATTTCTCGGAAAGAAGTAAGAACAACATGAACTTCAATCAGTAAAATCGGTTCGATTTTCATCATAATTTGCATATTTTTTAGGTACATCTACCTTGGATTATTCGACACTGAAATCGAAGCTGCAAGGTTCGATCAAATCCCAATCTTCTTTCTCCCTTTTTCAATTCTCTTATTCTAAATTCCGTTGAAATAATCAGGGCTTATGATAAAGCTGCTATAAAATCCAACGGAAGAGAAGCAGTAACCAACTTTGAACCTAGCTCATATGAATATGAAGATGAGATCAACAATGGTGGTAAAGACGAAATAATACTAATTAATTCATCAAAATTCTTCAAAATTCATGATGATTTTTATTAATTTGTAACAGGCAACAGTGAAGAATCAATGGATTTGAATCTGGGAATTGCTCCCCCTAGTTACACTGCTGCTGCAGCATCATCAGGATTCTTAGTTCAACATGTACAGGAATGTAGGAGTGGAAGAGGTGAAGGTACAAGTATGTAGTAGGTAGTGAAAAGTCGAAATTACCCATGGATAGATAGTGATGATGATGATGAATAGTAAAAGGACGAGATGAGAATTGAGATGTTACTATTTGACTGTTTGTCCTGGTTTTTCCCCAAAGGGTACAAGTACAACATCACTGTGGAGTTTCCAAAACATGAAAATATACATATGATATGATGGGATTGATTTTGGATTATATGGGGAATGAAATGAAAAGGCCTTTGAATTGTACCTTGTATTTCTGCATGTAGCACACAGTGTGTATGCAGACTGACACTCGAAACACACATTCTAAAGCAGTTTGTCACCTTTTTATTAAAAATTATACCACCTTTTACTACCTTTTTCGCTCTCATAAAAATTTAAAATATATATATATATATATATATATATATATATATATATATATATATATATATATATATATATATATATTTTTAAATTAAGTTTTTTCAAAGAGTGTTATTATTAACATTTTAGCCATTATAAATCAAAATGATCTTGTAAAACCACATAAGTTTGAATTCTTTGGTTACCATTGTTAGTCTTAGACCTATTATAGAATGTTACAATAGTCATAATAAAAAATTTTGTTTTTTGTTCATAGTGAACACTTTGACAAAATTTTCAATTCGACTAAAGCTATTTAGATTTGATTTTTTTTCTATTGTAAACCACTTTAATATGCTAAAAATATCACAATGGTCGACATATAAAATTTTCTTTTTTGTCAAACTTGGTGGTTTTGATGAATCATTTTGATTCATAATGATTAAACCACAAAAAATAATCAAAATATAGTGAGTTTTCTTGTATAGAAAAGCTACAATAAAATTAAATTATTTCATTTCATATAAATCTATTTTATATGTACAAACATGGTTCTAGGTTTCAACATATAATTACCATTTTAAAGAAACGATTTGTGTTAAATCAAAACAAGAGATGTGTCAATACTTATAACGCATCCAAGTTTGATAAGATCATATATAGGAATGAACATGTTAAGGGATTAGACTACTAGATTAGGTGCTCTAATAGTGCCACCTAATATAATTTTAAAAGGTTCCATAATATTTGATAAAAATAGTTGGTAGGTGAAATGTGAAAAGAGAAATTAAATATTCTTCTACTTTTTGTTCCTACAAATCTTTCTACCCAATTAAATAGTGATATGTGTGATATTTAATGTTTATTTAATGAAATTTTAATATACAAATATGACATATGTCATTATTTAATTGGGTAAGAGAATTTGTAGGAACAAAAGTAGAAGGATATTTAATTTCTCATGTGAAAATTATAACTTTTATTTTGGAGCTGTAATTATAGTGTTATTATGTGTCATGATTGACCCATGTACCTATAGTGTGGAATTTGACTCCTTAACAATTAGTCTTCAATCAATGATACTGAAAACTTCTCTCTAAAAGCTATTTGAAGTCATTTTCTCAGTAGACATCTCTAATACATACCATGAATCCCTTTCTAGTGGTGGGATGGTATCCCACCACTACTGTACATGGTCACTAACCATGAATGTGAACATCATTCCAGGTGTTTGTGGTGGCTAGTGGTGGGATATTTATGTGGTGGTGAGGAACACTAACCACAACACTTATTTTACGTTTGGGATTGCTTTTAAAACAACTTCTCATTTTTAACTTTTCCGAAAAGTTAAAAAATGGTCAAAAGATGTATGGCTAATGAAAAAATCTTTTAAAATAACTTTTGTGTAGAAGGAAAAGTTGGTTTTTCAAAAGTCACAAATTCTATATTTTTGTAACTTGTGGGATTTTTTTAACTGAAAAGTTGGTTTTTACCCTAAAAACAAATATAAACATATTTTAAAATTTCCTTTGGAAAAAGTCAGTGGTCAAAAAATCTTTTTACAAAAATAACTTTTAACCTTAAAAATAATCTTTTTACAAAAAGGACTTTTAACCTTAAAAAAATAATCCCAAAACATCCCTTAATCATCTTCATTTTCTCTCTATTTCTCTTTACCTCTCTCTACCTCTATCTATATTTTAATTAATTAAAAAAAATTAATAGTAAAAAGAATAAGAAAGAGGACTTATAACTTTTAACCTTAAAAATAATCTTTTTACAAAAAGGACTTATAACGGTGGGTATCTCATAGGTTTAATGGTTGGATTAAATGATAAGGTGTTACTAACCGTTATAATAATTAGTAGTGGATATTGCAGATATCCTATAAGTATTTATTTTAAAATAAAAGTTTTAAGTTCATTTTTTCAAACAAAAATTTTCTTTAATTTCTTTTTTAAAGTTAAATATTTTGGGCACTCAAAAACTCTTTGGCAAACACATCAACAATAATAAAAATAATAAAGTCACAAAATAGTGATATCTAGTTTTTTACATCTCATTTAGATGAATATTTCTTCCATACATACGTCGCCACTTCAAAAAATGTCAAGTTTATATTATATGGGGATAAAAACAAATTGATTTTCGTGATGTATCTAATCAAAAATTAAATTTAATATAACAACATCAAATATCTGCCCAACATATTAGTTAAATGTCATAAATTATAAATATATAACAATCATCCATATGATATAAGTATGATATATAACGTCTTTCTTTTGAAAGTTCATGGTTGATCTTAAAGCAAAATGTAGAAGATGACTTGAAAAAAAAAAATCAAACGGTTTCTAAGCATGCAACCTAAATGACAATATGATATATCTAGAGAAATATTAAATGTGGCACCAGATATGAACGTACAAAAAACTTGATTTAGATTAAAATATTGTCATTTTACATATACCTATCCAAATAATAAACTCAAGCTACGATGAATTTAATGAAACATGGTTACAAAAGAAAATGAAGGATAGCAGTAGCACTCTGGCAGACTCCTAAAGAAATAAATGAAGTCATTTTGGTTACAATCACATCACCATATGTCGACCCTTTATCGTTTGTCTTTTCTCATAGTTAACAATATCTAAACATGGAAACCTGTAAAGGTATGTTTACACAATGTACATATCAATATAGCTTGATTCTTTTTGTGTCTGATAATTATTGATCTAGACAAATAAATTGGTTTTCCATGTCAATAATGATAAGTTGTTTACTTATCTTGTTTTTGAGGCCGCTATTTGAGTATTTTCATCAACGATATGATTGAATTAAAAAAGTATATTGCAAATTAAACAAGGGATAATGACTTGAAAGGATAACGAACTTTCAACTTTTTTCATATTTACTCACTAAACTTTTTTTCGTTATCTATTTGCCATTGAACTATTGAAATTATTCACATTTTACCCTTATAACCGGCTGTTACTGGTCATAATGGTAAAATATGAACAGTTTAAATAGTTTAGTAGCAAATAGATAACGAAAAAAAGTTTAGTGACTAAATATGAACAAAATCGAAAGTTCGTTTCCCTCTAAAAAGTTCAATGAATAAATGTGAACAAACTTCCTCTTGTATTATGTTTTAGCAAATTATTTATTTTTGTTAAATTGTAGCAACATTTGTTGATGAAGAAATTTATGAAATAAAAAAAAAAAAAAAAAAAACAAAACAAAACCCTGAAATTATATTTAAAAGCAACAAAAAACCGAAACCGAAATAAAAAACCAATGGTTTGACATTTTCCAAAATAAAAAATCAAAATATCCAATCTGATATTGGTTTTACAAAAAAAAAATGAACCATTCTCACTGATGTGAATTATAACCATTGGTTTGGCACGCGGAATTTGTGACATCCCATGAATACGTAGTTACAACATCGTCTGAACTCGTAATTCATAGTAAGGGTTTAAAGTATCATCACATGAATACGTAGTTACAACATCGCCTGAACTCGTAATTCATCACCTACAGGTTATGGGCCTACTAGTGTTTCCATTGGGTTGTCTAGAATAGTCCGTGGTCGCCATCTATACTCTGGTATATGAATACATTGCCACATTGCCGGTTAAGGTTATGGTATCTCCGTTCATCCTACATTACCTATTCATCATCATCATCTATTTACCTAATTATCATCGCATTTCTATCATCACCTATCTCTCATCATTTTATTTCATCACACACCAACTATTTCATCTACCCATGTTTCATCCGCAACATATTTGTAGATATAAAATAAATATACCATTTAAATCTTTTAAAACATGTATAAAATCATTCATCCATCATAGACAACAAGTATTTAAATAATATGCACACATAACACATAACTTATATAAAATACTTCAGATCTATATGTAAGATGAAAGTAACTATATATACCATAAAAATCCCATAAATGCTTCATAACTTCAAACCCCAAGGTTTACTCTACTAAAACTTCATATTAAAAATCCCATAAATGCTTCCTAACTTCAAACCCCAAGGTTTACTCTACTAAAGCTTCATATTCTCGGCTCTCTGGACCTAGAAGGGTCCAAATCTATAACACAAACTTGCAAGAGGGGTTTGAGGCATTCAAAACCCCAAAGATGAAGTGATTCAAGCCCTAACCCCAAAATGGAATCTACATAATAGGGAAGGAAAGTGGTTCATTTTTGTACCTCAGAATGAAGCTCCTTGCTTGAATAACTCAGAACAATAAACTTCCTTGGTCCCTCTTGCTGGAACTCTTCTCGTTTCTTGCAAAATCACACCAAAAAGCTCAAGATAGCTCTTCCTCTCACTTTACACACTCAAGCTCGCTAAGGTTCTCACTTATGGGAAATGTAGTCGCAATTGAAGGCCATAAGCGCCTTCAAATATGGCTCGGGCCCAAACAAGATGCTAGGTGGGTTTTGATGGGTTTTGAGCATTCTAACACTTCCTAAGTGTACATGCAACCCTAATAACCTTGGATCTATGTTTGTCTAATTTGTCATGCAAAGTTGAATTCCAAGGTTATATCCTATCTAGCATACATGGGGAACAATTTTAACATAAAGTATAGATAGAATAACTTACCTTGTTGTTGCTTGTGTTCCTTGAAACCTTGTGAGCCTAGCACCTCAAGTGGTGATGCCTCAAATGCTTCACACAACACCAAATGCTCTTGGAAGAACTTATGAGAGAATACTCACTTCTTCAAATCGGCTAAGCCCTCTATTTCTTCTTTGTTGCAAGTGTGTAACCGATTTGGGAGGAGATCATATTACTTATATAGTGTTGACACATCTAGGGTTAAACCCTAATGTGTCATGACTCTTCATTTCCATGACCCATGGGTTTGTAACTCCCATGGAGCATCCATGGAGCATCCTATGGGTGGAACCCAACTTGATGATCCATGGAGCCTTTTAGCCCACTATACAAGATATGGATGATTTACTTAATCAACCCATATATTTAATT